CCCCCCACCTCCGCGGGTAAACTCCGGGCACCCATCAGTCTGTTAATTGCACTAATTAGAGATCGCGGAGGTGTTAATTGGAAAACCCTGGTATTGTGCCTGTTTGGGGGAAGAAAACGTCAATAAAAATTAATTGATGAGTTGGCAGGACGGGCAGCGCAGGTTCGCGGCGAGGCGCAGGGTGTCGTGGCAAATGTTACGGCTCAGATTAAGCGACTGTTAATTAAAACGCGACGGTAATTAATACTCCCCACGCCATATGGGCCCGCGAAAAGGCACAAAAGGTTTGTCCACGTGTAAAGGTGGTGTCTTTTCCTCTCTGCCTCCCAAAAGCACCCCAGGCCCCTAGTGCCCCTTTGGCCCCTAGCTAGGTGCAACTTGTCACTTCCGGCAGGGAAGGGACGGGGCGGACCCTGGCTGGTTCCAAGAAGGCTGCTGCCTTCGCTCCCGCTGCGGTGCATCAAAGAGGCAAAAGCCTCTGGGAATGTAGGAGCCCCCAGATGGCCACGGAGTTCCCCAAAGCGGAAGACGTGGCTGTGGCTTTGACCTGGCTTCCTTCTGAGGATGCCTGCTGGAGCCTGGACCCGACCACGGCTCCCCAGTGCTGACTTCACCAAGGGAATCCGCAGTATGGGAGACCCTCCAAATCCCCTCAAACACACATGCACAGGAACACCCCCCACACCCTGTATGTAAATAGTTCTCCACTCCCCACCACACGTTGTGGGGAGTGGTTTGGGAATGCTGGCAGGGGTGAGAAGCCTAGTCTTAACAATTCTTAAGGAAATTTGAAACTGGTGTCCACTCCTTAGTGGCTTTTTTGGGGTGCGGAAAGCAGGGCCTGCTGGCTGCTGAGAAGCCCATATTGTATGGAGAGTTGCTCAGGACCACCAGACTGGGACTAAGTGTTCTCATTTCAGCGTGTTTCTTTCCCTGCTGCAGGTGTTAAGTTACTCATTGCTGCAGAAAGGGGTGACTGTGTGTAGAGGGGGCAGGAATACATGAAGTCAGTAAGAGTGCAGGAACAATAGGAGCAGCCAACTGTGGCCCATGTCGGGTAGAGCTTTGGGATCAGGGACTAAACTGACTCTAAAGGTCTCCTGGTGGCTCCCAGCAACATCCACCAACTGCCCTGGGGGGTTTCTCACGGAGAGAAGGGACACTGAGGTCCGAGACGTAGGAAGGCAAACGGCTCGTGGCTGACTTGCAGCAGACCCCAGGCTGCTGTCTCTTTGCCAGTGATTCGCCCCACTCCCGGTTACCAGGCACTGATAACAAAGCGAACTCTCGGCACCCCACCCCACCCAACCTCTGGCTGGCCGGGCCCCAGTCATTAGTGCCTGTCACCTACAGTACAGGGCCCTCCCCATCTTCGTTATAGCACTGCTGAGCGGTGGTAGGAGTTGGGAGGCTGGTGGTGTACTCAGGCTCAGAGCAGGTGTGTCAGGGCAGAGGCGAGGATTCCTAGAGGACCTGCAAGTTCCTGCCGTGCCGGTTTGCGGGGCTGGTGTTGGTGGGTGGGCGGGAACCTGGAAAGAGGTCTATGGGTGTGTGTCAGTGGGCGATGGCCCCAGGAGGGGTAGAGCACTCCATAAGGGAATGGCTGCTATTCATACACCCTGCGGAAGTGACTTTTCAGATGCATATAATTGTAAGCATGCAAACGAGGCTTGTCCGATATGAATGATTGGCCCTTGAATAGCTGTTATTACATGGCACATTGCCACAATTATGTTGTTCACTCGGTCTCGCTATACTTCTCCCCCTTCCCAAAACGATGGAAAGGAAGGGACACCTCTGTTGGCACCCTCCTTCCTTTCACTCTCCCTTTTCCAAACTTGCTGTCAGAGCTACAACTTTGCTGCCTTCCTGTGATTGTTGGAAGGGAACTGCTTTCCCTTCCCTGGGAGAAAGAGCTGCCAGATTCTCCTTGCTGTCTCCTGCGCGTGTACTTACACCCCTGAGGCTCGTCTTTGTCCCCCGGAGCCCAGGAGTTCTCAGATCTCAGAGCAAGTAGTTTGGGATTCTGAGCTGGAAGCTGCTCTCTACCCCAGCAGGGCTGGAATCGAAGGCCAGGGAGAGCTCAGTGGGCAGAGTTCCCGCTGTCTTAACCAGTCCCTCACCCCCAGCTGAAGCTCAGGCCAGAATGGGGGAAGTTGCTCCTGTAGTTTGCAGGGCGGGTGGTTTCAGGGGAGGGGGCTGAAGCCCTGTGCTGTGGTGAGTGGCAGCCAGAGCCCAGCCATCCATCATTTGGCAGCTTCTAGCCCTGGGGCTGACATGGCTATTAAAGGGTTGGGACCAAGTGTGCAATCTTTTCCAAACCGTCACCTCCTCAGTGTACCCCTCCCCTCAGAACTCAGGAGTGGGAACACAGAGTGACATTAAGGCCACTTACATAGTCCATGGACGCTGTAGGATTCCTGTCCCCAGTCCTCTGAAACCGAGAAGGCTGAGAGCGGTGGTGTGGCCCCTCTGCATCCCCATAACCCCCACCCCACCCCCACCCCCACCTCTCCCTCTGTTCCCATCAGGGAAAGACTGGCCTCTGCATCCTCATATACCCCCACCGCCGCCACACCCGCTTGCCCACCTCTCCCTCTGTTCCCATCAGGGAAAGACTGAACAAGCTGCAGGGGAGACACAGAAAGGCTTTAAAGGGAGTGAGGGAGAAAGATGCCACTGGGCGTCTCACCCTGGGAAGAGGAGTAACTCAGCCACTTCCTACCGTTCCTGTTAATCTGTTACCTGAAGGGCCTCATCCTGTTGGCTGAGATGTGTGGCTATCCGGCTGGCTTCTCCAGTTCTTGCTGGATGCTCAAGTGGCTTGATCCCTGTGTGACATCAGCCAAGTCATTAACCTCTGTGAACCTCGTCTCCTCTGCCCTCACAGTTAGGGTGCCTGGAGAATGGGCTGATGAGGGCTTACTTGGGTAGGCGCCTTCATTGTCTGTGAAGGACGCGAAGAGGCTAGGATTGGATACTTCCACAGACAAGGAAACTGAGGTCTGGGGAGCCTGAGGCAGCTGTTAGACAACAGTCCATGGTGGGCACCAGCTGTTCCCTTTAGGGTGACTGATTATTTGTGGGGCAATATAGAGTCTAGAATTTGAGAAGAGCTTGTGTATGTGTGTGTGTGTGTGTGTGTGTCCAAGAGTGCACACACTAGTAAGTTCTGAGGTCGTGAGGCAGGGTCTTACTGTAGTGCTCAGGCTAGTCTTGAACTTGTGATCCCTCTGCTTCAGAGTCCCAGGGTTACAGGCATGTATCTGAGGTCAATGGCGTGCACTACCCCTCCTAGTTCCAGAATAGCTTTTTGTGCTAACTGTCCCCCTTCTGAAGTGTGTGTGTCAAGCTTGCAGAATGTTCCACAACTGGGGAAGGGAACTCCTCACCCATCTCTCTCCGCTGCTCACTGCCCAAGTCACACCCGCTCTCTGGAGAATTTACAGCCACTCCATGTGCCCATATTTAAAAGGAGGAGGCATTTCGGCCTTAACCCTCATGTTTTGGAGCAGATACCTGACTTTGGGGCTGGAGAGATGGCTCGGTGGTTAAGAGCACTGGCTGTTCTTCCAAGAGACCCTGGTTCGATTCCCAGCACCCACACACACAGCTCACAGTTGTCTGTAGCTCCGGTTCCAGGGGATCTGATGCCTTCTCCTGGATTCTGCGTGGACATGCTGCGTAGACATGCATACAGGCAAAACACCCATACATGTAGAATAAATATTTAAAAAAAGACACCTGGTTTTTGTTTTGTTATTTTTCGAGACAGGGTTTCTCTGTGTAACAGTCCTGGCTGTCCTGGAACTCACTCTGTAGACCAGGCTGACCTGGAACTCACTGAGATTCACCTGCCTCTGCCTCCCAAGTACTAGGGTTAAAGGTGTGCACCATCACCGCTCAGCAACACCTGATTTCTAGTTAATCTTTTCAGGTTTATTTTTTGTTTCTGTGTGTGTGGATGCACACTTGTGTGGGTGTTTGTGGCAGCCAGAAGAGGGCGTGGGATCCCTTGGAGCTGCAGTTGTGAGCACTCCTATTCAAATGCTGGGAACTAGCAGCTAGTGCTCTTAACCTGCACCATCTTCCAGCCCTGTGTTTTCTGGTTTTGAGACAGGTTTTCCTGTAGCTCAGGCTGGCCTGGAACTCCCCCTGCCACAGCCTCCCAGACTGAGATTATAGGTGTGACAGTTTTTCCCCTTCCTTCCCTACCTCAATTTACTTAGTGCTAGGAATGGGAACCCAAGTCTCACATGCCAAACACACACTTTAGCCTTGAATTACACTAACTGCCCCGGTTTGGGGGACAGACTTGCTAGGCCTCGAACCTTGGGCATCCAACATACTAAACCTTTACTCCAGCCTGTTTTCCCGTCAGTGCAATGGGTGTTAAATACAGACCTCTCTGTTCTGTGAGGACTTTGGGGCTGTGGGTAGTAATAAATAAGACATGAGTGACTTTGGCAGCTGACCTGAGGTGGGTAGTGGTCCTAAGAGTCCTTCCACAGATGCTAAAGACTGGGGTTTAGGGCAGCTAGTTTCCTGTGTTGCTTAGGGCCTTCTGTGCCCTGGGGAAGCAGTCTCTGCCCCCAGGGAACTCGGTATCTGTATGGAAACAAAGGCAATGGCCATTGCTGGTGAAAGGGATCTCAGCTAAAAGGAGATACCAAAACAGGTTTAGGGCCCTGGGGGAAGGCAAGGGCTCATCTCCTACCCTCCCCCAACTACTCTTCCTGGAAAGGGGGAAATGGGAGGTTGCAGGGAAGGGGTCTCAGCTTCCTTATGCGGCTGCCCCTTAACCAGGCCCTGAGGAAGGAGTGGCACTGAGAGGCTCTCAGAAAGAGCTTCTGGGAAATTGAGGAAGAGACCGCACTAGGACGGGGGTGGGGTGGGGTGAGTGTGTGATGGGTGGGAGCAGCTTTCAGTTGTAGTCCCAGGTAGAACCTGCCCTGCCCCTCTATCCTTGAGCCTCAGCCCCTCCCCCATCTCTTCTCCAGGTCCCGATAGAGCGACATGATGGTGGAATCTGCATCGGAGACAATCAGGTCGGCCCCATCTGGTCAGAACGGCGTGGGCAGCCTCTCTGGGCAGGCTGATGGCGGCAGTGGGTCAGGGACCGCAGGCACGGCTCCGGCTGCCGGTAGGGACGGCTCCGGCAGAGACACCGCCAGCGGAGCGGACAGCAATGGCGAGATGAGCTCCACCGAGCTTCTGCAGTTCCAACAGCAACAGGTAGGAGCAGGCTGACCTTCCCAGGCCCTTCTTTATCCCACACCCTCTGAGCCACCTGGGTCACCGCTCTCTCGAGCCTAGCACCCCGGCTTTTAGATAGTGAGAAGGGCCAGCCTCCAGGGGCTTAGCTGCGTGGATACCCTGAACCCGGGGAGCTCAAAATGGTACTGGGGGCCCAAGTTTATGAGTTTGAATAGTCCCAGCAAAGCCATAAGGATTGACAGCCGCCTGGGCAGCAGGCTTTGGAAGTCTGTTTTGAGCTGGTGGGTGTCTTGGCTCTTATAGGCATGTAGCTGGGGAAACTGGTTATATTAATAGGTTTGGAAGTGTGTGCTATGCACACAGGGGTGTCTTTATTTGTACTGAGAACCAAGGTTGCCTAAGCTCCAATCTGAGCTGTGAAGAGGTTAAATTTACAGGCACAAGTGGTCAAACAATCTGGAAAGAGGCCCAGGAAGGGAGGAGAAAGACAATGGCGCTTGCGCGTGCGCGCACGAGCACACACACACACACACACACACACACACACACACATCTTTCTTTCTCTTTTTCTTTCTCTCTTTTTTTTTTTTTTGGTCTTTCTGAGACAGGGTTTCTCTGTGTAGCTTTGGAGCCTATCCCAGTACTCTCTCTGTAGACCAGGCTGGCCTCAAACTCACAGAGATCCGCCTGCCTCTGCCTCCCAAGTGCTGGGATTAAAGTTATGTGCCACTACTACCGGCAAACAAGTTTGTTTTTCTTTCTTTCTTTTTTTGTTTGTTTGTTTCTTTCTTTTTCTTTTGTTTTTTTTAAGACTGAGTTTCTCTGTGTAGCTTTGTAGACCAGGTTGGCCTCGAACTCAAGAAATCCGAATGCCTCTGCCTCCTGAAGTGCCAGGATTAAAGGTGTGCCACCATCATCTGGCTTTTTTCTTTTTTCTTCCCCAAGACAAGGTTTCCTAGACAGTCCTGGCTGTCCTGGAACTCACTTTGTAGACCAGACCAGACTGGCCTCGAACTCACAGAGGTCTGCCTGCCTCTGCCTTCCAAGTGCTGGTGTTTAAAGTGTACACCACCACCCCCCAGCTTATTTTTATATTTTTAGTAATGTGTTGTCTGCATTCTGCACACAGTATGTGCTTATAAGTTCAGTGCCTTGGAAGACCCGTGTCAGATGCTGTGTAGCTGGAATTATAGACGATTATGAGCCACCTGATACAGGTGCTGGACCTCAAACTCAGATCCTCTGGATGAACAACAAATATTCTTAACTGCTGAGCCATCTCTCTAGTCCAGGTTTGTATTTTAAAGGCTCACACTAGGAACCCAGTCTGTGTCCCATTTCCTCTCTTAGGCCTGTAGTCTGGCCCCTCTGAAGATCTGGGGCACTAGGTGGGGAACCTAGTTAGATTATGAATGAGCAGGGCACCTGGGTCTCAGTTCCACCCAGGGATTGATTAGGGTAAGGGGATCATGATTGAAGGCTTCAGGAGAACCAGCCCAGCCAGCCCTTGCCTTGGGAGTCATCTTGTTTGACTTTACCTCGTAAACTGTTGCTGGTGTCCTTCCTGGCCCTTAGGGGCTTAGCTGGGAAAGTAGACCAGGAAGACCCTGGATGCCCTATACCATCCTTACCTGTACAGCAGGGCCTTCATGCCTCCTCCAGACATTGTTGTGACCAGGCTCCTCCCCTGCTCCACAACCCCACACCCAAGGCTTCAGGGTTGCACTAGAAGCAGCTCACTGATATTTCAGGCGATTGGTCCCTTCAAACAGGGCGTGTCCTGAGTCTCAGCACCTTGGCAGCCCCATGATCTCGACCACTGCAATACTGAGTTGTTAGGACCAGAAGCAGCTACGTGTGGCAGTGTGGACAAACTCAACGGTTTCTGTGTGTAGTGTTTGCATGTGTGTGCTCCTGTGTACTTCCTTAGTCAGACTCCATCCTTGGGGGGGTTGTTTTGTTTTCTTTTGAGACAGGGTCTCACTATTAACCATAGCTGGCCTAGAACCTGCTATGTAGACCAGGCTGGCCTGGAACTCACAGAGATCCGCCTGCCTCTCTGTGCTGCGATTGAAGGAGTAAGCCACTACACCTGGCATCTTTTAGTGTGTGTGTGTGTGTGTGTGTGTGTGTGTGTGGTGTTCATATGCCATGATGTAAGTATGGAGCTTTGGAGAGTCAGTTTTCTTCTTCCGACGTGTGGGGCCCAGGGATAGAACTCAGATCTTCAGGGATGTGATCCTTGGGGTATTGGTGGGCAGCGTCATCATCCTTCTTAAGCAGAATCTCTGGAGGAAGAGACCCACTGAGTCTGTACTTTCTGCTGGGACAGCATCCTGTTGTTGTTTTTATCAAAATGTAACTCTTGCAGAAGACTTAGGTTTGATTCACAGCACCTACACGGCAGCTCAAAAGTCTGCAACGCCAGTTTGGGGATTCAGTTTCTTCTGGCCTCTGTAGGCACCAGCATCTGTGTGCATATGCACACAGACACACACACACTTATACATCATTAGAAATTAACCTTTTAAAAAAAATTACCCCTAGGAGTTTTCCAAGGCCAAGCAGTTTTGGATCCTCCTATATCTCTTTGTGAAAAGAACTATGTAAAACTTTAATAAATAAATATAGCAGGGGCTTGGAGGAGCTTCCTAAACTGGAAACAAAACCAAAAAAAAACCTTGGGGCCAGCAAAATGGCTCAGAGGCGTGACGCCAAACCCAACAACCTGAGTTCGAGTCTTAAGACCCATAGGTGGAAGGAAAAGGAAAGAAATGTGTCCAACAAATCGTCACCCGACCCCCACACATGCACTGTGGCCTGTGTACACACACACACACACACACACTCTCTCTCTCTCTCTCTCTCTCACAGAACAAATAAATAAAATGTAATTCCCAAAAGGAAGATAGCAAGTTTGCCATGAGGCATAAACATGGACTCTGGGTAACTGGAAAGATGTCTGGGTGGGAGAGACGGAACCGTCTGTACCGATCGAGTTTCCGGGCTCTGCCCTGTACACGACCATGACTTACTATCTCAATTCTACGTTCCAGTTGTTCCTGTTTGTTTTGGGGACCAACCCAAAGTCCTGGAAAATCCTGTATCGGCTTCACAAATAATCTGGGATAGGGTTTTGGAGGCAGGCAAGGGGCCGTTGCATCCGTTTGGGCTCACCATGGGCTAAGGGCCAGACCCAAGGAAAACATGTGAGACTGAAAAAAAAAAAAAAACAAAAACGTTTCGTTGGCTCCAAACTTCAAAACTAACCGTGCACAATTAGAAAATATAAACTATTCAGTTACAATGAAACGCAGTCTGTGGGCCATCCTTCCACTTCCAACAGACGATTGAGGCTTTGGGGGAGGTCATTCAGCAGTTCTTGGTCCCCCAGAAAACAGACGCTGCTGTTGGCAGGGTAAGCACGATCAAGGAAGGGAAGTTGACCTATTGGTTCCACCTGCCTTTCAGCCATAAGCAGGAAGTGTGTAGAAGACAGCTTCTGGGTTCGCTGTGTCATTAAATGTCATTAAACTGCCTCAGCATCCCTGGGGAGAGAGGCCGTGTCACTCCCACTTGACAGAGTTGGCAGCCAGAGGCAGCAGTGACAGCCTCCGGCGCCTCATTCAGGGCCCGGCCCTCTCTCCGTGCTGCTCCTGCTACAGCCACAGTCGCTGGATGACGTGGGAGGGACAACTGCTCACACAGTTACATACATGTGTGAATGCTTGCTGAGTGAGAATGCCCCCTGCCTGCCTACAAGGGCCTCTTAAAACAAGAAAGGCAGGCCCCCCAAGGTGATGGGCCAGTGGGCAAAAGCACGTGCTGGGCTCCAACCCAAGGGTCCACGGTGGAGGAGAGTGGTTCCCACACTTACACCATGGCACCTGCACACATACCCACACAATAATAAAATCCAGGGGGGGAGTTCAAAGCCAAGTGTAGTACAGGAAGCTGAGGCAGGGATGTCAAGTTTAAGAATAGTCTGGTCTACTTGGTGAGACCCTGACTCAGACATGAGCGGCCCTGGGGCTCTGAAGACAGCTAAGTGGGGAGAGACAGACAGAGAGAGGGCTTGCTGTAAAGCAGAGAGCATGAGTTTGAATCCCTAGCACCCACATAAAAGTTGGGTGTGGCAGGACAACCCAGCATAGGGTGTTGGAGTGAAGGGGAGACAGGAGTCCCAGGAGCTGGCTGGCCTTTTAGTCCAGTTGAGACTGTAAGCCCAGGTTCAGTGAGAGACACTGTATCTAAAAATAAGGTGGGCTAGGGGTGGATACAATTAAAATACATTGTATACATGTCCACAATCCTTGAAGAATAGATACATAAGTAACAGGGCAAAGCAGTTAAGGAGAACATCCCAGTATCAACTGCCGCCCTCAACACAGGAGGCTGCACGGGTGGGCACGCTAGCACACACATGTGAGCAGAGGCACGCACGCGTCCCTGACGAGCATGATGGCGCATGTCAGAACTTAGGCGGTGGAGGCAGGACATGGATGGAGAAACTGAAGATCATCCTCAGGGACACAGTTGGAGGCTAGCCCACATGAATCCTTGTGTCAAAAAAAAAAAAAAAGACTGGGATGACTACCCACCTGCCCTACGTGGCCTCGCTACCTGCTTGGAGGCAGAGCTTGACGGAATGGCTCTGCATTGATGTCATGAGCTCCTGCTCTCCTGGGTCTCCCGGTCCCGATCCCTTTGTCTGTGGGTCCCTGTCTCTTTGGTAAACAAGTCCTGGAAATGCAGCCCTGGCCTTTAGGAGTAATGAGTTGAGAGACAGCCAGACAGGGCGAGTCACAAGTCAGGCGGCTGACAGGGCTTTTCGGCTGGAGCAAACAGTGCTGTAGAGGGCGGCCACGTCACTTCGGAACACGAGCTGCTCCGTTTCCATGCAACAGCAGGCTGGGACCTTGTTTAAACAGAGGTGAGGGGGCGACCCAGCCTAGCTGCCAGGCCAGTTCTGGCTGCACAGAGTCCCTTGCTGGCTGCCCCATTTCAGTATTTCCCAG